CCGGCCGGGCCGGTCTGGGCGAGCGGGGCCGCGCGGAGGGGTTTGTGGGAAATGTGCAGCCAGAGCCTTTGGTTGCGGGGAGAGAAGGGGCTCCGGCCCACCGCCATCTTTAGGGAGCCTCTGCTGGGAACGGGAAGGCTGCCTTGTCTTTTCTTTAAAGCATAGACCTCTCAGAATGAGTTTCATTGCTCATGTACTGAAAATGAACCTTTGCAAGTTTTGTTCCGGGCATGCATTTTCTCTTGGAAGTTTTAGGGTGGTTCTGTATTTTTGCTTTCATACAGTCCCCTGGGAGATTCCTGTTTCCCCCCGTCCCTCGTCCGTTTTCTTTGCGGTGTCTCTTCACTAAACCCTCGGCATCCGCTTTTGTTTTTCATATAAACCTTTTTTCAGAAATGGACCCGTTGCTCTTATTAAGAAGTTTGGATGAACGCCCCTAAATCAAGAAAGCGATGAAAGTTAATCTCAACTCAATCTCAACTCTAAAGCAACAATTGGGGGTGGGGGTGACTCTGATTAGCTACACTTCCCATCGTAAATTATTAGCTCAGTGCTAACTGGAGAATCTATATATAAATCAGTATTGTTACCGGATGTGGCCGAGGGGCCGGTACACTGAGAGTGCATATCAAGAAAGTTTTCAAAAGTTTTTTTTTTCTCCCTGTAATCAAAAAATACAAGTCACAGTTCATTTTTGTGTTTAAGGTAGTAGTGACATCTTTGTGTAAGATCTTGTTTCAGGAACCCGAAAGAAAGGTATATATAGATTTTGCTCTCATGATAGTGCTGGCCTTTGTCACGCTGACAAGCATTTCCCCCAGTGAATTGACTTAACCTGTTTTTCAGGAAATCCAGTTTTTGTTTGGAAGTGATGACTCACTGCTGTGGGAGAAAAGCAGAGTACACTTTTTTGAACATTTTAGTAAATGAGAGCATTATTATATATATATTTATTCTATAATCATTTTTTAGGCTATTTAGTGTAAATTTAAATTAATGCATATTAATAAGTATTCACGAACACACCAAGGATTAGAACACTACTCATATGATTGTGTCTCATTTTTCTTTACTTACCAATATAATTTTTGCTTATGTATTTCCTTCTAATATGTGTATCTTAAGCAACATCAGACTGAGACGGCAAACACTACCTACTGATCAATCTGTCTCCCACCCCTAACATTTAAGAAAAGAGCATGATTTCTGGAGAACACAGTTGAAAACCACATTAGGAGGGTTGCTCTAAAGCAAACAAACAGAAAATAGCAAATGCTGGTGAGCTAGGACAAATTAGAATCGTTTTTCACTCTTGATGGCGTCACAAATAAATAGTATACTCATTATAGAAAACAATTTGGCAGCTCCTCACAAAACTTAACTTATGGGTCTGGAGAGATGACTCAGTGGTTATGAGCTCTGTTGGCTCTTCCTAGGACTTGAGTTCGATTCCCGGTACCATATGGTGCACAATCATAGCTCCAGTCTCAGGATCTGTTGCCCTCTTCTGGCCTCCCCAGACAGCAGGCACACATGTGGTGTAGACAGAATACCAAAACATAAAATTAATTGATTAAGCCATTTTAGAAGTTAGTGTGGTGGTTTCTCAGAAAACCAGGAATCAACCACAAAACTCAGCTACTCTTGAGCATTTACCCAAAGGATGCTCAATCACACCACAAGGACACTTGCTCAACTATGTTCGTAACAGCTTTACTTGTAATATCCAGAACGTGGAAACAACTTAGATGTCACTCAACCAAAAAATGGATAAAGAAAATGTACATTTATGCAATGAAGTATTACTCAGCTGTTAAAAACAAGGACACCAGGAAATTTTAAGGCAAATGGATGGAACTAGAAAAAAAAAATCATCCTGAGTGAGGTAATCCAGACTAAGAAAGATAAATATGGTATGAACTCACTCATAAGTGGGTATTAGCTGTAAAATAAAGGATAACTATCCTAAAATCTACAGACACAGAGAGACTGGGTAACAAGGAAGGTTCATAGGGATACACCAGATCCTCCTGGAAGGGGAAATAAAAGAGATTTTGTGAGTGAGTTGAAGGTGGCTGGGGATGGAACTATGAGCCATCATGTTGGGGATGGAACTATGAGCCATCATGTTGGGGAAGGAGACACAGAGGGAGAGAGTACTGAAAGAGGGGGCATTTGGGAGTCAGGTGAAAACCTGGCACAAGGGAATCTCCCAGGAATCGACTCTAATTAAGACTCCTAACAATAGCGGATATGAAGCCTAAACTGGCCTTCTCCTGTGACCAAACTGGTGCCTAGTCCAAATGTCATCAGAGAGTCTTCGTCTAGAAACAGATGCAGAACCACAGCCAAACATTAGGTGGCGTTTAGGGAATCCCACGGAAGAAGGGGGAGAAAGGATTGTAGGAGCCAAAGGGGTCAAGGACACCACAAGAAATCTCACAGAATCAACTAACCTGGGCTCACAGAGGCTATAGAGACTGAACCGACAGCTAGGGAGCATGCATGGGACTGAGCATGCATGCCACTGCCTATGTGTGACAGCTGTGTAGCTTGATCCTCTTGTGGGGCTCCTAACAATGAGAGCAGGGGTTGTCTCTGACTCTTTTGCTGACTTTTGCCTACTCCTCATATTGCCCAGCCTTAATGCATGGGGAAGTGCTTACCTTTATGCTACTTGATAAAGCATGTTTTGTTTTGTCTCATGGGAGACCCATCTTTTCTAAACAGAAATGGAGGAGGAGTGGATTGGTGAATGGGAATAGAGGGGTACTGAAAGGGACTGGAGGAGAGGAGAAAAGGGAAACTGCAGTTGGGATGCAAAACGAACAAACAAATTTATTTAAAGAATTTAGCATAAAGCTACGATCCGATCTACTTCTGGGTATAGTCAAACAATTTGAACGTAGGATCTCAAATATTTCCACAATCATTCATTATATGATTGCTCATAACAACAAAGCGATACAAGCAATCCAATTGTTCCATGAGTGGATGAGTATGAAATGTGATAAACACATATCATGGTCTAACTCTCAACCTCCAGAAAAAATGAATCCTATCACGTATCCCAACATAGGTAATTACTGAGAATATAATGGTAAGTAAGGTAAGCCAGCTAGCAAAGACACAAAGTAGTTTTACTTGTATGCATTCAGAGAACAGCGTTAGCACATTACCACAGTTTATTTTTTTTATTTTTTATTATTTTTAGTTAGAACAAGATGTTCATTGGTTTGGTTTGATTTATTCAAATCCTTTTTTCCTTGGCTTATAGATGGCTACCTCCTCACTGTAACCTCAAGTGATCTTTCCTCTACATGCACATGTAGGCAGAGTTTTTCTGTATCCCAGCAGTCACCCCCAAATAACCACACAGAGAAATGTTATTAATGCTTGGCTGATAGCTTTTACAACTTAAATTAATACATTGCTATTCATCTATGTTCTGCTCTGAGGCTCCTTTACCTCATCTATGAACTTCCCATGATACTTCTTCTGCATCTGGCTGGAGACTCCTCAGACACTGCTCTTCTTCCCAGCACTCTCTCTGCCCCCAAAATCCTGCCTAGTTATTGGCCAATCAGCTTTTTTAAAAAATATTTATTTATTTATTATGTATACAATATTCTGTCTGTGTATATGTCTGCAGGTCAGAAGAGGGCACCAGACCTCATTACAGATGGTTGTGAGCCACCATGTGGTTGCTGGGAATTGAACTCAGGACCTTTGGAAGAGCAGGCAATGCTCTTAACCACTGAGCCATCTCTCCAGCCCCCGCCAATCAGCTTTTTATTAACAATGGGAGTAACACATCTTCACAAGGTACAGAAGAATTATTCCACAGTGTTTCCCCCTTTATGTCTAATTAAAAAGGAAGATTTCTAACTTTAACATAGTAAAACTATATACAACAAAAATAGGTTTTATAGGTTTTCTGTTCCTGGATAGTAGGTTTCTCCCCAGATACAGTAAGCCAGATCAAGCTGAGTTGAAAAGGTAAAAGAACAGATTTGTTTTGAGCAAAGTGATTCCCAAGTGAATTCTCTAGTCCTAGGACTGAGATAGGAGAAGAGACAGGAAAAGTCACATGCTCAAACTAAAGCAGGGATATACCCTGTAGGTGAGGGGTAATGATGTGTCCTCCATAAGCTGGGTTTGTGCCTGAGTACAGTACACTTTAGGTGGGATCTTGGCCTCTGCAGCCCCCAAGAATGTTTAACTGGGCTTTTGGTGCCTTTTATTTGTTGGAGATTTTCTGAGAAGGCTGGGTTTGGAGAGAAAGAAATGGGGTCTTCTGGATCAAGCTGGAGTGAGCTGGAACAGTTATCATGTAAGAATTACAGTAAACAACATCTAGTCCATTCATATTTGGCAAATTTAGGAAAAATATTCTATTATTTATCTTATCTTTGTGAGTCTGAAGTTTTATATCTAATTTACCTTTTATGATAACTAAAGAAAACTTTAAGTCTAATTATTTAGTCTTTAACTCCATCAAAGACCCCAGAAGGTTATAGTGTTACCTAGTGACTGGACTATCTGGCTGTCTGGACAATCACCCAAAGTTCTGTAATGTTGGGGCATCCAACTT